GTCTGTCTTCAGCTGTCACTATCATAAAGGCAATAAAAGCCCCAAAAATATACTTTAAAAAAAAGAGAAAAAAAAACACATCCATCACATGCTGCTTCTATTTCTGAACACATAATGGCAAATAAATATTTATGGCCGTCTTGGGAATGTCTGTGCCATGGCAGAAAAATGACAAGTAAAAAGGTTTTCTTAACCCTTGCTAAATAACAACATTAACAAAAATAGTCTCAGAGACAGCTTCAGAGGGAGACCATAACGAGGGAAGAGACAGCCAGAGAAAAGAGGCAAAAATGACCAACAGCTACACAAAGGAGACAGTCAGTCCTGTCTCCAAGAAACAAGAGCTGAGCCCATCTGAGCAGTCTCTTTGGAACAAAGATAGCCTGCAAACATTTGTTCACAACCAATCAAAATCAATACAATGTTTGAATTGCCTCGATACAGTTAGTTTTCAACAACAACCCTCAAGAAACTGGCCTATTTTAAAGTTACTATGTTGTTTTTCAAAGAGTGTCAGTATGAGTAACGTTATTAATGCTACTGTCTGACTCAGTTTTACAAGTAAACACAGTCAAGACAAATGGCCATGTAAGAAATGTTCCCCCATTAGCATATTTTAAGAGTGACTGCTAATATCACAGGCATCTGCTAACAAGCAGACTTTCTCATGTGAATTCATGGAGCAGCAGCAATAAACATAACACTATATGTACCTTAAAATAATTTTAGAAACATGGCGACAGGATAGCACCCTTTTTGTTGTGTGGGTGCTTAAGTTTAGGTGGAAAGCACGAGTAAACTCTGGGATGAAGAGAAGGCTAATTAGCAAGTTGGTTCTCATCTGCTGGCCTCAAACAGGTTGCTGCGATTATGGCAAGAGTGTGTGAATACCACAGTAAGCAGAGAGATTCTGTGGCTTTGTTTACTCCAACATAAACATGTTAATCTCTTATTCATTCAGCACAAACTGAGTGCTGCTTTCGTTTGAGACAAACCTGTGTTTAAAATCCTGGTTGCTGGAAATTTGTAGATTAGCAAAGTAGCATATAATTTTCTTTGAGCATGGAAGAAAAACAGTAAACCAGAAATGAAAGTAATCCTCAGACACATTAAATTGTTCTGCCTCTCATCTATCTATGAAGTTTGTATTATTATTACAAACAATAACTCAACTATTAAAGCCTCTGAGGTCCTCACAAGCAAGCGTGACAAACTTTTTGGTCCAAATACGGGATTGCAGATCCCACGCCGTTCAGTCAACAGAAATGTTCCTTCTAGGCGTTCATCTATTGTACTTGAGATAAGACACTCAACTTTACCAACATGCTTTTTGTGTATAACACGATGACAGACAATGAAAAGAGCCTCTATACCAAGGGCTTTACCAAGCAGTGTCAGTAATACATTAATATATAACTTTTAAACGTTAACTGTAATTCAATATTCACCATGTATAATGTGTGTCAACATTAGTACAAATTGACTGAACAAAAGTTGTGAATAGATCTTCTCCACACAGCTACCACAAAATCCTGACTTTTGTTATTAAAAAAAACAAACAACATGAACAACCAGTGTCCCAGCTTTCAGTTGTAACCATGGCAACTTCATCACAGCAAAAGGGTTTGGGATTTTTTAACATGACCTAGTCATGTGAATCGCACCAGACCAGTGGCATTACGTAAGGGGGTTGGGCGGGTGGGCTGCTCTGAGGCAGAGCTGGGCTAGTTTCTGGGGCCGTGTGATGCTCACTAAGGGGCCTTAGTCTAAAGGATTAGAGGCTAATTTCCTCGTGTCACACATGATAAGGAATGACTACAATTCTTACACCATGCTAAATCAATTCACCCCCACAAGATATTGTGATTTTCAAGTTGCACTGGCAGAAGACCAGCATGAACACAGCACTGTGTCCCAACAATCTTTCCCTTCTCCACGCAACTTCAACACTGACCTGTGAATCTGTTTTTAAGAACCTGAACTAGAGAAAAGCAACTGGAAAAGAATGTATTTCTGAACAATAACACAAACCAGTTAAAGTAAAACACTGAACAGCACAGGAAATAATCAGCTCTGCTCAGTAATCTGTTTGTAAGCTAAGCTATGTGTGGAGACAAAGGCTACAGGAGGAAATACCAGCACACAAATAATTAAACACACACTTAGGGCTAGGCCATGGGACTGAAATTAATGACATAATTAAAGGACTGTTTTTTGTGCCAATATACCACAACATGATTCACAATATGTAAAGATTAGATAAGATGTTGTTTTTCACATAAAACTAATTAACAAAATAAATTGTATTAGTGTCCCTTAAAAGGTTCCAAACCTCATTAAAAAAGTTATTTTAAAACATTAGAATTTTACTTCACTATATAATCACAATATGACTTTGAAAAGATGGCTATAATTATTATTCTTAGTCTTCACATCCACACAGGGAGTTGTTTGTTTGCATTGCTTAACAAAACACTGTGGTATTTGTCATGTGTGGAAATGATGCATATAGAATGTGTGTATATATGTGCTGTATTTGATGTCTATCCCTCTCTCTCTCTCTCTCTCTCTCTCTATTAATTCAAGCGATATTCACAAACATACATAAAGAAAATGGAGGATTAGGCAAATGTTTCAGAGATAGCCTAATACAAGGACGTGTGTGCATATCCAAAAAAGCTAATTCACTGAATACATGTTTTTTTAATAGTAAATTAATCTAATTATTGACAGCATGGGTGTACCATATTAGAACTGGAAAACAAACTAGTAATGTGCTGATAATGTCATTAGCCTAATTTCATCAGTTCTGCTAAAAGCTTTTCCAGAGTGTTTTAGAGACCACATTTTTTAAATCAAAGCATGTACTTCTGCCTCAGCTCACCTTCACTCTACATCTTCTTCCAAAAATCAGGAAGTCAGCAACGAGGTACATGGTTACTGCATGTATCTCAACTCTGAATGAAAGTTTGTTCATTTCAGCTTTGAGACCCAGCATTGAGAGAGTATTATAGATCCAGTAGGTTTCACACTGTATCCACGGCCTACCTGTAGCAGTGGGTGATGCAGAGTGATCTCCAGCTCAGCTAGCCTGTGAGCCGGGTCCTCACATTCCTCGTGAATCTCCAGGTCCTCCAGGGGAACCGTATCCCAGCGGCCACAGTTAGCCGCCAGCTGATGCACCAGTTCATACTGGCCAGGCAGCGCCAAGCTGAGCCGTGTCTGCCTCCCATGGGTGAAACACAGCTTCCGCCTCTTGCAGACTCCCTCGACTCCTCCGCAAGCCTCTCCGGCCTCGGGCCCCAGTGGCAGCAGCCTCTCCCCCAGAAGGCAGTTGAGCAGCTGGTAGCGGGCATCACAGTCCTGACCTAGCACCAGGATGTACGGGGCAGCGCCCACAGTGTTTCGTAGGAACTCTTCCTCATGGCTGGGAAAAGAGATGAAGCTAAACTGGCCTGAGGAAACAGAAGGGGGTATGTGATGTTCAAAGGTGGACTGAGAACAGAACTTGGTTATTCAAAATCAGTATCAGTAACCCTGAGAAACACTCTTCACTCCTGGAATTTGGGACCTTTTTAGGAACTCTTGGTCAGCACTGTAAGCAGAATTTAGGCATTCAATGACATATTATCCTTTGGAGCTGAGCATCACTTCCAGAGTATACAGTAGATTATTGTTCCATGATAGAGATATTAAAAATCTGATATCATTCCATGGACTGTTATTTCCTGATCTAGACTTAAGATCAGCACACACAGAAGAACCGATTCAACCTTCTTATTGAGGGTATAAGACATAATCCTCAGGGGTGCTGAGTCACTGTGTAAAAGAGTTATATAACAAAAGACAGGAGAGAGTAGCAATGGCCTACTTTACATTCATATTCCAGTGCATTTCTTTCTAAACATACATGTGGTTTTACTGTAACTGTAACTCTAATCTAGCATTCAACCGTCCTGGCCTGACATGACACAGTAAAGCTCTCAGACGGACTTGTGTGAGTATTTGACAGACTATGCATAACCTCTACCTAAAATAACAGATCAAAATCTATTGTATCATCCTTCTGTATCATGTGATACACATTTTTGTCCAGATAAGTAAGTGTAACCAAGACATTGCAAGATGAATCTAGTTAGCAGGTGAAGACATGGGTTTAGCTCTGCCCATGAAAGGCAACATTATGGTCTCCTTTTTTCTGTTGATTATGACTAATCTTAAGATTAACATTGTTCATTCAACATTGAGGGAAATTATTTTAACCCTCTCCGTGTACAAGCCGCTCCTGCAGATGTGACGCATTACGTTTTATCTGCATACCATCAACTGTTGTGCATTTTAATCAATGTTTCACAGAAATAAGTATCATAATTCATGTGGACAAAAAAAAAACTTACAAAACTCATGAAATGTTAGAATATATGAAGCAGTGAAACACATTTTATAAAACTGTTGTAATGGAGAAATGTGGTGCAACTATATATATAGTGGACAATATGATATATATATTATAATGTTATGATATTAAAATATGTCCACACACACACAAGAGGCTCAATTAATTGAAAATAGAAGAATGAGTGTGTGATATCCCTCAGCCGGGTAGTGAGTGCAGAAATCTCAGCATATTTGGAGCACTTAGTCTGCTCATGCTTTTGAAAGGGGGCTTAATCTCTTTAGTTCTCCCTCACCCTAATTAATGCATTTCTTTCAGTCTACGTCTTGATGCAGAAATCACTTGGCAGCAGCAACTTAGTTAGTTCTCTTTTTTTTTTTTCTTTTGATGGTTTGTTTCGCTGCAGGTCGAGATACAGAAGTAAAACACAGCCATGGATATGCTAATGCGACAATGTAGGATGCTTTTTAAAAACACACATTCAGGTGCAGTGCAGGGACGTGGCTGCTGCACGCTGTTCACACCTACCCGCCTCCAGAGAAGCTGAATCCGAGCTCATAGTTGATGCACAAGCATTGCTGTAGTTCTGCCTTATTTCCCGGAAGAAAGCGTTAGTCTCCTTCAGGTTCTTCTTTAGCTGTGTGGTGTGTTTGTTGTAGCTGTTAAATGTCCTCGTCAGCTCCCGAGCTAAAGGAGTCGCTTTCTGCTGTTGCACGTTTCCCTCCATGGTCACCAGGTCGAGCTGCTCTTTCCCTACTTGTTGTGATGTACAAGCTTAAAAGCAAAGTCAAAATCAGTCCTGTTATCACACCTTCCTCGTTAATAGTCAGTAGTCATGTTTGTCCACCTGCCAGGCCTCGGCAGATCATGAACATTAGTGTATTAGACAGACAACAGCCCCTACAGTGGGGCTTTGCCTTTGTGTTGTTATGATACTGCAGCTGACCAGCACAGCTAGCTGAACTGGGAAACAATTATCTAACAAAGTAAAACCGCTATTTCGGCATCTTGTGTCACCTTTTTTTCCCCCGCTTCTACTTCACAACCGACCGACTGACTGTCTGCAAACAACTGAGGAGTGTCTTAAAAAAACCCGACAATGTGTTGACGCCGTTGAAATAGTTGTGGCAGCTCGTCTCGACGACCCCAGACAACGTTAGCGCTGTTAGCCTGAAGGCATCTCCTGGCCGTCCTCGCCTCGGCCTGGCACAGCAGACATAATAACGAGGGTCTTTAACTGGAGGTAGAGAGTCCAGGGCGCCGTTTCACAGCCGTACAGCTCCGGGTTTAAGAGACAGAGGGGTCACACAACTTCTGACAGCTGCCCCTTTAGTTAAATGACAGCGATGAGACGTTTTCCCGACTCCGCGGGGGGAAAAGATCTTCCTAAACTGGCTCCGGCCCGGAGAAGCCAGCGGACATCTTCCACCCTGGAGAGAGGACGACAGCACGGCGAACTGGAGGAGCTCACTCGGTTCTTCTCTCCCGTGATGAAGATGAAGAGGAGGGTCCGTGCTGGTGCAGGGCGAGGTGTGTCCGAGCCAAATTACATAGCTGGGACCGAGCAATCAAATCACTGCAGAACAGAAAGTCGACACGGCCAAAGTTAGGGAGAGGAAAGGGCGGTTCGGGATGGCGCGGTGCAGTCTGGGAAGTGTAGGAAAATTGGGGTGTGTGTGTATCAGCAGCTACTATAGAGAGAGTGTGTGTGTGTGTGTGTGTATCAGCAGCTACTTTAGAGAGAGAGAGACGAGAGAGGAGAGAGTGACGTGAGTGAGGAGTGAGTGAGTGAGTGAGTGTGTGTGTGTTTCGTGTGTGTGTTGTGTGTGTTGTGTGTGTGTGTGTGTGTGTGTGTGTGTGTGTGTGTGTATCCAGCAGCTACTTTAGAGTGTTGCGCGCATGCGTGTGTGTGTGTATCAAGCAGCCTACTTTTAGAGAGTGTGCGTGTGTGTGTGTGTGTTGTGTGTGGTATCAGCAGATACTTTAGGAGTGTGTGTGCGTGTGTGTTTGTGTGGTGTGATCCAAGCAAGTCTTCTTTAGTGAGGGGGGGGGGGGGGGGTTGCGCGCATGCCGTGTGCTGTGTGTATTCAGCAGCCTACTTCTAAGAGAGTGTGGTGCGTGTGTGTGGTGTGTGTGTGTGTATCAGCAGCTACTTTTAGAGTGTGTGTGTGTGTGTGTGTGTGTGTGATCAGCAGCTACTTTAGAGAGTGTGTGCTGTGTGTGTGTCGTGTGTGTTGTATCAGCAGCTACCTTTAGAGTGGTGTGTGTGGTGTGTGTGGTGTATCAAGGGCAGCTACTTTAGAGAGTGTGTGTGTGTGTGTATGTGTGCGTGTGTGTTTCAATAAATGCAATGTCACAGTTTCAATTATAATTATTATATATTATATTATTATATAATTATAATAATAATAATAATTTCATTTAATTTGGAAGTCAATTTTAGACATGGAAAGAAAATCAAATAGATGAGATGTTAGGATGACAAAAATACAAACCCTCAAAGCAAGGTAAAAAAAAACTACTATGGAAAAAACCTACTATATAGAATTTATGAGACAACATACATTTCAAACAGGTCAAAGTTTTGCAGCCTGTGAAGACAGTAGTATAATGTCTTCTGTGGATGTGAAGGGAGTTTTTTAAAGTATAAGAACATACCCCTGATGAATGTGATCAGGGTTATCTTGAGTTTGGCTTGAGACTTCAAATATATGGCAGAAAGCCTGTTTTACAAACCTGGGGTTGAAGTTTGAAAGACCTCCGGTATTTACCAGGCCGAAGGGCTCTGGATAAGTCAGGATATACCTCTTTTTATTGATTCCAAACTTTTAAATTCGTTTTTGTTCCTGGCAGTAATGGTTTCCATAATGATCCCAGTAAATCTAAGAATACAAAGTATAATTTGTACCCTTGATTTAATTAATTAGTTCCCTCAAAAAACAATTTTTTTTTAGCTCATATTATTATGAATTCCAGTTTACAAAATGTGAAAAAAAAACAAGAGACACGTTTCTTGTCGGTTTTATACACCATCATGATACATTTCTGTGGCTAATTGTGGCCCAAAGAAGACCGACCATATGCAGTGGATGTTATATCCCCTTCATGTTCCATCATATCTCACACATACACACAGTTCTGCACCACTTCCATTCACTCTACCTGACAAACATTTGTTACAGAATTAGACTGATAAATTGCATTGAGGCTATTGTAGAGATATAATAGAGATCAGTTTTGGGCAGGGTGGTAGGACTCCATAAGCTCCCTCTTCTGGCAGACATACTGAATTACAAAAACAACACCTTCAATTAGTTGTGATCCTTTATGATAGTCTACTAAAAGTGTATATGCTTTTATTTCACAAATGTTAAATATTTGTCATATAGTAACAACTCTTGTTCGGATCAGATAATATGTGGAAATGTGTGCCGTGTACAGTGTGACAGATCAGACAGGTCGGTATTTAATGAGGTTGTTTCCCTTAAACTTCATTTCTCATAATTTATTTTCCCTGTCTAGGTTTTTAGTATTATCCTTTCTAAATAAAGTGGGCATTTCATTCGGTTCCCATTTCACAACATTTTGTGGACTAATTGTGAGTTGTGGTTCCTTTCATTGTCTATTTTGTGCACAGTGTTCCTGCACGCATGAATGAAAATGCACTGGCACATTACTCAGAAACCTGAATGGCAACCACAGCGGCTGTCCCTGAGGGGTTAGGAGGTCAATCAAGACAGACTCTCTGAAGGAGCAGCCAATTGGCTCAAAGTATTAAATCTGAGTGTTCATCCTGTCCCCACTGACGAACACAGCTGTGTCTGAACTAACACCACATTATACATCTTTACATAGGATATCAGGAACACTGAACATACTAATATGTTTAGTGTGTAGTGGGGAAACCTGGGACAGAGCCACTGTCTGTTTCAGTATAAAACCAACTGGGTCACATCTGTCAGCCGGTGTACTGTGTCTGGTGACTGCATGCTGATCTCTAGTGGCCCACAACTGTAATGACACTACTAATCCAACATTTTATTTCTTTTCTCTAACGTGTCTTTCAGTTCACTACAGACTGCTTATTTAGGAGCAGATACTTCAATAACCAACAAAGATACAAGCTCCATGAAGTCAGCTAGGATTTAAAATGCTGTATCTCTCTGTGCCGGCAGAAATAAAAGAGGAAAAGGGGTTATAGCATGAAACTGTGACAGTGTTATTCCAGGTAATTTTAATAATCCACAGGTAGATATAGTTTATGTTGGAAACGGAGAAAGGCCACAGTATTTACAAAAATATTTTGCTTAGTAAGAGTATAGCTAAATGTACTTAAATGATCAAAAGTAGAAGTGCTCATAATGCACATAAAAGGCCCTTGTGAATGTTATACTATTATATATTATTTTATTGGATTAATATTAATGAATTACTGGTGCATGCATGTGTAAGTAGGATTTTACTGTTGTTGGTCAAGGTGAAGCATTTATTTCATGCAGTAATACTGCTGGGTAGTTTGTTTATTTATCTCTTTATTCATTGTCTTCATGACTAGAAGCGAGATAAATCAGAACAAAACTACCAGCAGATATTCAACCTGCATCGAAATAAATGTCCTTCACCTTGACGAAACAACAAGTCCGAAGACATCTACTCTACAACAATGCATTCGCCACCAAGTAACTTCATTAATTATTAGCACCTTCCAATGTAAAATAATATATAGAAGTAATGTATATCGGGCACCCGGATTACGACCCGCACATCGTCACAAGGGCCTTTTATGTGCCGAGTTGAGTGCAGACACCTATCTACTATTTGGATCATGTAAGGTACATTTAGGCTATAACTCTTACTAAGCAAAATAACGTCGCGCTGTCCTGGAGATACAATACTCGGCTGGGTTCCGTCGTTTCCACCATAACAACTGGATCAGCTCCCTTTACAACACTGTGGATGTATTCAAACGATGTACGTGGAAA